TAAAGAAATATCGATTTTTAAAAATTTTATAAACTTTATTTATTCCTTAAATTTTTAATTTAATAATTAAATTATTAAAATTTAATTTTAATTATGAGTTATCGAATAAAATAGTTACAATGATAGTTATGATTAGATTATGTGAATCTCTTTCTACATATATATTACTATCATTTCTTAGTAGTTGGCTGTCAGAATTAATGGATAGACCCCATGCTGCAATGAACAATAAAAAAAATTAAAAAAAAAGTTGACATACGTTGGAGTTGCAAAACCTACCATTATCAAGAAGCTCGTGACTGAAAGAAAATAGAAAAAGATTTCCTTTCCCATGCCTTTGTTGATCCGAGTCATGCACGGTCCATGCATGCATAGATGGCCACACGGTTACGCACGAGTGAGGAATGAAAAAGGTTCCTTTAATTGCCAACTAAAATGCATTCTCTTTTTCTAACCAAAGAGGAATGAGAGAATGGTAACGTTAGCCGCAGAGAGAGGGAACAGCATGTTTCCTCCACAGTATTACTAAACCAATTGTTTTTTCCTACCACATGCATATGCCACATCTATATCTACCACCTCAACCCTAAAACCTATTCTGCACTACTCTAATTCGAATTTCTGACTCACCTGACAACATTAAAACTAAAATATACATTAGAGATAAATATTTTATTTTTAAAAATTCAAAATGTTTAGTGTGTAGACTTAAAGTTCAACTCGAAGGTAATTTTGAGATAACTTTTATCATTCCTAGTAAAACAACATTCAATATTCATTAGAGTGCTATACCAAATATAATTTATGCTGGGAGATCCTATCAGTCACGTGATACGACACGTGACGCTCAATCGGCCATCGAGATGATTGGGATAAAAGTTGTTCATGCACTGGACTCGGCTATCTCGGCCGTCGAGATAATTAGAATATAAGGACTTTCACAATTGGTTCAACATGGCTCTCGAACACGGCAGCAATCGTGATAACCGAACTTACGAGACCATCAAAAGCTTGACTAGGGCAGCATAACTAGCCGGCCTACCTGATGACGTCTCGGCTTGGTAGAGGCAAGACCCGAAAGGACAGCCCCACCCCTCGACTCGGCCAATGGCCAGGATGACCAAACACAACAATTAAAACAATAATCATGATTAACAAGGATAAACACATGATTAAGGCATAATCAACTAATTAGCACCATATTACCTAATTTGGTAAATGTCAGAGGAGATCCACAATGCTCAAGGCTCATCATAACTAGTATAAATAGATCACGTAAAACGAGATATGTCATTATTTATTTATTATCATCGAGATTCGTACTTGTCTTGACTTGAGCGTCATAGTGCCTTTTGCAGGTACCCTCCCCCTCCGAAGTATCGACCCGAAGTTCTCGTTCGACCCTCAAACTACCTGAAGATTACGAGTGTGTCCTTAGACATGTACATAATTAATAAGTGTTTAATTATATATGATATATATCTCTGCCTACGCGTCATTGAAAAATCAAAACAAAACAAAAGGGAAATAATATGAAAAACGAAATTAAAATATAGACAAGGATACAGAGTTTAGCAAATAATGTCTGTAAGAGCAGGCCCCGTGATTCCCGACGAAAGGGCATATATTTCATATTATCTTTTTGAGAGGTTTGGGTCTGCATCAGAGACAGCACAGCATCACATTTTTCAGTCTCACACATGAAATATTGAAAACCACCCATGTTTCTCACTGCTGTCTATTCATACATTTTTTACTGTCATTCATATGTAGCTGGTAATTGATTGATCTTTAGTATTTATATAATAATAATATTATGTGGTGCCCACTTCAATATATACTTGCTTTCATTCCAAATTCTCATTAATAATGACTCATTTATATAGTTAATTATCATCTATGTAATGAGTATCACGAGACTGAATATATATTGTTAAAGTTAAGTGATCGATAACGAAAATGTATAATATAAATTAATAATGTGCGAGTAAGGGTAACGTGATTTATTATCTAATAATTTGTATGTGTCTTATTTTCATAAATACGTAAGCAACTAGTTGATGAATGCAATAAATTTTTAAAAATAAAAATTATTTGAATGGAATAAAATGATAATCATATATTTTCTCGGAAGGGTCGGTACGTGGAATAAAAATAAAATAAAATAATCATCTTGAATAAAAAATATAAATAATAAAATATTTTTTATATTCAGTATTTCTATAAATCATCAATTCACCCTCTTCATAAAACGTACTTTTTCTTTCTTACCAAATACGAGTCTGAACTTATTATTGATTCCAGAAGAGTTATTTTGTAAAAATATATCTGTAGTGGAATATTATTATCTTTATTTATTAGATATTTTATACACATCTTATTGTGTATTTTAGAATTTAACTTTCACGATTTAATATTTAATATCATTTAAAAGATCCTTAATTAACTAATAAAATATACGTATTTTATAAATTTTTATTTCTTTTCTTATTTAAATTATATGTGACTTTATTTGTATCCTATCAATTATTTCTTTGTTATTAGATGATGTGTATATTGCAATATTGCAAATAATAAGGAAAACTAAATTTAATATTTGCATACGTACAGAAAAGCTATCAAAATCATGTACGTCCCAACTTAATGATTTATTCGCCTGGAAAAAGTTTGGTATTGACTGTTACATGAGAAGGGAAAATGGCATTACCATGTTCCCTACCATGCTTTAATTTAATCAAGTTAATTTCATTTAAAAAAAATGATACATGTATATGCTTATTTTATTATTTTTTATTTGCCAACAATTTTGGTTCTTAGGTCATCCCTTGAGTCTTATTCACCTCAATTATGATATACATTTTTTAAGCACTTATGTATCATCACTCTACTATGATACTACCGAATAACAATATGAAGCAATGCTTATGTTTTGGCGAAGAGTTTTTTTTTTTTTTTTTTTTCCTTCATATCAATGCATTTTAATCCCTTAGGAGATATTAATAGTACAGTATTTTTCCAGATTAACTCGATATCCAGTATATTTAAGAGGCTATTAATTTCAGTCTAAGATGAGAATCAATCTAATAAACTACAAAATGTTTATCAAAGCTAATATTTGCACAAGTCAAGCACACCACTAATAATTGGTTAGCATTATTTTTCTGCAGCCTTGACCCCTATGTCAGGTAATTCAACTCATCTTGAACATCCTATAATTAAATTAATATAATTAACACTAACAATACCAGGTACACATTTATTAATAAACATCATCACTATACTAAAATCACTATTGATTGAGCACCTAGGTACTCTATCCATCTTCACCATGACTCGATTGTGCTAGGAAAAAGAATCATTGTCCATACAACTCAAACATTCACACCTCAATAAAAGTAAGGCTAGGCTAGACATAAGAGTCGACTTAGGATACACACCACAAAAATTAATAACAACTTTATTTAGTATCAGTTTCTTGCATTTTAATTTATATATCATGAAGAACAATCAAACTCATGTTTCAAAATTCTCGGGAGAACATTTCTTTTTTTTCTTTTTTGCCTATTGTATGCTATGTACGGCTCTACTAACGTAATACTAAAGAATTCCCATGACTGGCTATAATATATTCATATCAACTACTTTATAATTACAGGAAAAAAAATAATTGTTATTCAAGTTGGAAAGATAAAATTGGCCTCACATGAAATAATCAAGTATATTCCCTCCATTCCTTGATGTCCATGCATATTAAATATACACCAACATGCTTACGACGAGAACCAAATTATTCGTTTACTCATCTCAAAGAGGCACATAGAGGAGAGAGAGAGAGAGGGAGAGGGAGAGAGAGAGAGAGAGAAGCTGTTCTAAATTCTGTGTGAAGATCAATTTAGGATTTAGAGACGGTTTCAGTATCTGGGTATCTCACAGTCGTATAAGGGTTGTCATCGATTTATGTGTCCTTATTTATATAGCTACGATGGTGTTGCTAAGATCAAGGATTTTCTTTTTCAATGTCCAAGCGTAGAGGAGATGAACAATAGTAGGAGTTTGAAATTGTGAATTAGTGTTAATTCCACCACTAATTAACATTCAGAGACATAGAGGCAACTGTTTCTTTTGTCTTGCTTCAAATTGTGATCTTAAAATCCAGTTTCCGAGATTGAAGGGTACGAGGATGGAAGAAGAGGGACATGGCTCGGAATGTTACAAGACAAGCCCTTCTAACGAGGAAGATTATTGTGAAGAAAGTGAGGCCAATAATGAAGATAGAAGTAAGCAAAAGAACAATGGAGGAAGCTCAAGCAACAGCACTGTGGAAGAAAACGAGAAGAAGACAACAACAGTGAGGCCTTATGTTAGATCCAAGTTGCCTAGGCTACGTTGGACACCTGATCTTCATCTTCGCTTTGTTCATGCTGTTCAAAGACTTGGAGGACAAGAGAGTGAGTCACACACACACATAGCTTATTTGTGACTCAAATTCCAGATTTCAATTTTCTCAAGGGATTTTTAGCATTAATACTTACTAGATTAATTAAAAGCCTACTTAAATACAAACCAGAAATTCTTTTAAGATTCTATAAAAAAAATCATTATTTTTAATAGAAAAATTCTCAAAAAAAAAAACTCTTTTAAATTCTTCTAAATTTTATCCAAACATGTTTTAATTCAGAAATTAATTTGAATTATGTTATATTTATTCTTCTAAATATATATTGGTCTTCTTGGGTGTAGGAGCAACCCCAAAGTTAGTTCTTCAGTTGATGAATATCAAAGGTTTAAGTATTGCTCATGTCAAGAGTCATTTACAGGTAAATCATAGAATATATATATAATTGCTACCAATTTTTTTCCTTTAAATAGATATTTTGCTTTTTTATTTTTAATTTGTTGCCAATTTGGTTAAATTCTTTTATTTTCCCATGTTTCTTTTGCCAGATGTACAGGAGCAAGAAGATAGACACAAATCAAGGTACAATAAGGTTTTCTATTTGGCATAATGCATCAATAAGAGATTAGGGTTTTAAAAGTCCCTAATGAATATTTGTATTATATATGACAGTATTGGGTGATCCTAGGCTCCTTGTAGAAACTGGAGACAAAAATGTTTACAAGCTTAGCCAACTTCCCATGCTTCAAGGCTACAATCCAAAACAAAGTTCAGCATACAGGCAATTAAACTTTAACTTCAAATTCTTTATAACATGCATTAAGAATTGCACAACTGAGTAAGAATTTTTCTTCTTTTCACAGATATGGATATGGGGATGCTTCTCTTGCTATCTATGAAAACATGGTGCACAGGCCCTTCCTGAGTAGGAGTACTTCAGTAGATGAATCTGGACCTGAATTTTATGGCAGCATATTGAGTGAGAGGATCCATGGGACCAATAGTAACATCAATTGGACTCACAATAAGTTCCAAGTTGATTCTTCACGTTTCAACGAAATGTCAACAAATAAAGTTCATGAACAAAAAGACAAGTTCTTCTCATTTGGTGGCCATGAATCCTCATGCACACAAATAAAAATGAGCCAGGTTGGTCTAAATCAATCTACTCAACAGCCAAGTGCACAACAGCTCATGCCCTATAATAAGTTGGCAACAAATCCCGTGGAACTAAAGACCTTGAAAAGGAAGGCTTCAGATATTGATCACCTTGATTTGAATCTGTCACTAAAAATAAATTCAAGGGTCGTCAGTGATGAGAACCAAGGAAGTAAAAGCATGGTGGACCATGAAGTTGATAGTAATCTATCACTCTCTTTGTGTTCTCAGTCCTCGTTCTCTCATCTTAGCAACAGGTTGAGAAGAGCACAAGATCATTCTAAGGGGCAAGGGGAAAGAGCCAGTGCTCTGGATCTGACTATATGAATGAGACAAACTCTAAGTGAGATCCTGAGGTACCTGTCATAAATCATGCATATTGTAACCAATTATTACATTTATCTGACACATATATATTTTCTTCTTGTCTCTTTCTATATAGGGACAGTGAATATTAACAGTTTGTCTATTAAATAGTGGCACTAGCTAGCTTGGTAGGCGCTAAGAATCCTTATCTCAACACCAGTGGTTTTAGTTCTACTCTTCTTCTATCACAGAAATGCTAAAAGAGAAAGCCCAGTACAACTCAAATCATAAGAAAAACAAAGCAACCTCTGCACCCATCGATAATGGGTTCCAGATATAATTTTTTTCTTAAAAAAACTAAACTGTTTCTGTGTGACTGTCATGCTGTAAATCTTGTTTGTTAATTAACAATTAATCTTTAGTGTTCATGTACTTAATGGATGAAGTTTTAAGATTGATTGGATCGGACCATCGATGAGATGAAATTAGAACCGACATGAAATTCAAATAGTTAGATCCTACATGCATGGCTACATGTGTTCCATTCTAAAAATGATAAAAATGATGATCCTGTCACCAAGTTTCTTTCAGTATTAGTAAGCCTATTATTTTATTTGAACGTGCCAAATAGAATATAATAGAAATTACTGGAAAGAATAAATTCTTGTTTAAATAAATTGTGATAGAGGAGTGAAGAAGACAAAGAAATGTCTAATATAAGTGAATTTATATAATTGAAAATTGATGGATGAAGCAGGGACAATAATTATTTTAATAAAAACATTGATATAAGTTTTCTATATTTAGATAATATTAAATGTAAGGTATAATAAATGAAAGTTTTCATTAACTAATTTACTATAAAAATTAAATAATTAGTTCTTACATATTCATGATCAGGACTATAGATAATTGTTGTTTTATAAAAAATATAAATCATCAATATTCTAATAATCACATTTTCTTCTATGAAATTAATTTAATAATTTAAAGGATCTAGATGGATGAGTTCTTCAGGATTAAGATTTTCTAATGTGTAAAATGTCTTTTGTTGAGTGTATTATTTTAGTTTAAACAGAAAAAAAAGCCCATTTAGATTTTCATAAAGAAACATGATAATAAAAATTTATAATTTTTTGAAAATATCAGAGGAATTGATTATGATTATAACATTTTGAGGAACTATTACGAATCTTATTTGAATTTATAAAGGTATTTGATGGCTTTCTAATAAATTATTTTTAACTTAATTTATAAGGTAGTATTTAATTAACACAATTTATTCTTAACTTTTTTTTCCTTATTAAAAATAGAAATTCCTCTAATTAGATTTAAAAAAAAATCTTACTTGTGGCTTTTTGACTCTTTTAGAAAAAAAAATTATACGATTTAAGTTTTAGAACTCCTTAAAATTTTGTCAGGTGTATTTTCTCCTTTTAGAGGAAATAAAAGCATAAATTAAGTCAAACACTATGCTTAAGATTCATAAAAAAAAACTATCCAAATAAAGTTTATGTAAATTATATATTTCAGCAATTTTTATGATTAAACATACAAATACGTTTTCATGTGATATGTACTTGTTTTTTTTATAAAAAAAAATTAAGTTGTTTTCCAAATGTGTCATTGTCATATCAATTTACTTGCGCTTTTCTTTTAAGTAACTTGTACTACTGAAAAGGAGGGAAAAATGAAAGTAAATTACACACTGAAGAAAAATGAAGGTTTGACCCCTAAAAAAAAGTAGTCTATAAACCCAACTATAATACAAATAGAAATTCATTGTGTAATTTGATTAAACCCTGTTAATTAAAAAAATCTTTTTAACAGAACTTATATTGTACATCATTATATATCTTTATAATAGTAAGTATGTATTAATCTATGAAAACAAAACTTAAGTTGTTTTCGTATTAGTGATTGCATGTATCAATCTTCTATATTTACAAAAAAAGAATGTTAATAAAATGAGTCATAGCATTATGATATCATAAATATTATATATATATATATATATATATTAATAGTTTTATTTTTTATTAAATAAATTAAGTCGATTTATATCAATATAATATTAAGTTTAATAATTTTAATAAATTTTTTTATTTGTCTGGTGTTGTATTACTCATAAATTTATTTAGAAGTTGAATTTTAACTTAAGGATGATGTTGGGACATGTGACGTACGATTGTTTGAAAATAAAGAAAAACTTTTAAACCCTACGGGTATGCTCCTAAGGGGTGATGTTCTTGTTCTTCCATAGTCTACCGGAAAGGAACACTTACAAAGATATTTCGACGCCCAAGTTTGAGGGGGGTTTAGGTGAAGAATTAGGATTAGGATAGAATAATGATGTATGGAGTCCACGTATATGTACGGTGATTGCTTAATTTTAGGATATAATCTTACCTGATCATTAAAAAATATTCGCATGATTGCATACAAGATTTATTGTGTGAATTTGTTGCACTTTAATGTGGTGTTGGTGTCGTTCCGCACGCGTGGGGTTTTATTTCATGATGGTGAATGGGAGGCCTAACATGGGCGAGTTGGATGAGGTTAATTAGCTCAGTAGTACAAGGCTAGCTCGAGCTAACTGAGGTAATGTGGGTGAGTTGGCGTGATCAACTCAGCTTATTCAAGATGAGTGGTACATTAAGCCCCCAAGCTCCAAGTCTATTAAAGTGAAAGAGCTAGAAGAGAGGTTGTTTCTGGTTCTTTATTTTATACACTAGTAAAAAAAAGACTTTTAACATCGGTTATTTTTTACTTTTAAAATCGATTAAAGAATTGATCTTAAAAGCTGAACTTTTACGATTGGTTATTTTGTAACCGATCTTGTAATACCACTTTTAAGATCGGTTCTTTTGTAACCGATCTTAAAAGTTGTGTCAGACATACCTTTTAAGATTGGTCATAAAATAACCGATCTTAAAAGCATTTTTAAGATCAGTTAAAATTTAACCGATCTTAAAAGTCTAACTTTTAAGATCGGTTATGAAATAACCGATCTAAAAAGTATTAGGTTTAATTTTTGTTTAATTTTAATAAAATTATTAATGTAACAATCCTCATATTTGGCCAAGTTCAACTTTTAAGATCGGTTACGAAATAATCGATCTAAAAAGTATTAGGTTTAATTTTTGTTTAATTTTAATAAAATTATTAATGTAACAACCCTCATATTTGTGGTGAAGGATTTTTCACTCTTGGCAAGCGGACCAAGCTTCGTTGTAGTAATTTGATATCGTCCTCAGGGATTTGGGAATACTAGTAATTTTCTTTTCTTGTTTATAGAGAACATGGATGAAATATTGATTTAAGTTTATAATAAAGCAATTAAAAGCAATAGTTTCAACTTAGTAGAAAACCTTATATGAGAAAGAGATTGGATTCAAATGTACTTTCTAACTCTTTTAATCTTCATCAAATAAATATGACTCCACTTCTATTACTTCCATGTTCAATAATTAGCTCAATCAGATTCCTCAAAATTGAGCCCTAAGGTGATTAACCCTAAACATGATTCCTCTATGATTTAAGATTAATACCTTGCATTAAAACAATAACATGAACCAAAATGGCTAACAAAATCAAGTCTATTCCTAGAACAAGAGATTATTAGGTGAATGATTTAGTTCAGGGTTTTGAAAATGTTTCCCAACAAAGTTCAAAAACCTAATATCATAAAACGGGTGATCAAACCGGATTAAGCATTAAGAGAAGAATCAAACACAAGTAATAGAACTGAATATCATATAAATCTAAGAAGAAATAGAGTTAGTAGTTACATTGAATCCAACCCAAGAGAAACTAGCCACTCATAGTGAGGGCCATAGCAAATAACAAGATGAGATTACACAATAGAAGAGAAGAAATGAAGATGGGTCCTTGTTCCCAAGCAAGCCAATCTTCAAATCTAATCTTCAAGCTCTCCTCTTCTCCTGGGTGATCTTTCTCTCTGTGCTTCTTTTGTTTCGTTTTGTTTCGATTCCCCCTTTTTTCCTTCCTTTCTTGCCCTAAAATACGTCATGTCCAAGTGAAAGTTGGGATTTTTAACCCATGGCTGCAGCTCTGGATGTGTGGCTGCAACTTTAGAAGTGTTGCAAGACACACAAAGCTCCAAGGCTGTAGCTCTGGAATAGGGGCTGTAGCTCTGAATGTCTGGACTGCCCAAAATGTTCCAAGGCTGGAGCTCTGGTTTCATGGTTGAAGCTTCAACTCTCTAGAATTGGTTCAGGCTTCGTGGCTGCAGCTTTGGCTTTGGAGCTATAGCCTTGGATTTCCAACTTCATCAAAATCTACACAAAAAGAAAATATTTTCAACCAAAGAAACTACACTCTTGTAACTCCTTAGATTAATCTTAGTTCATCTATTTGGAGGGTCAAATACAACCAAAATTACTTACATCTCTCCCAAAAAGAGTGCCAAATTAAGCATAAAAATATGCATTTTGAGCACTTATCAACTCCCCCCAACTTACTCATTTGTTTGTCCCCAAACAAAGGTTCTACTGTGACTGCAAACTGACAACACTTTCCAATTCACAAATTGCTTCTATATCAACAAGAGAATAAATCATCAATCAATTCACCTTCCTCAAAGTAATTCCTACTCACTTGAGGTGCCCACATTTTCAAGCATACCCAATCAAAGAATTCACAAAACAACTCACTAAATTGAGCACTATGAATCAGTGATTGAATAAATACTCCTCACTGGTGTATCTCTCCTTGGGTGAGTGTTTCTCTCAACTACACACATCATTTCTATGAACATAAGCATTGATATCATCTCTTCATTGCCACTCTTGAAAAGAAGATGAAGGATCACAAGGTCTTTTGAGGGTTGTAATGGGGCTTAGTTAATAAAGAAATATGGTTTTTCTGGTTAAACAAGGTTCAAACTCTAGAGAGCATAATGAACATAAGCAATAAGACTCAAAATTTGTTCACTCTTCAATTTTCAACTCCAACCACATCTCTCAGCCCAATTTCTACCTTCACTTTTTCCATATTTACCTTCATAATTTATTGACTCAATTGCAAGAATCCCACCTCTTTTGAGACTTTTTGTACATTAACTTAGCTTCTTCTTCTTCTTCCTTTTTTTTGTTTTGTTTTTTTGTTTTTTTTGAAGCTATTTTGAATGGAATTGTACAGTACAATGATAACCTTAGAGAGGTAATTCTCACTTTAACACTTCACAACATGGTATTTCTTTTCTTTTTCTTCAACCTTGACAATTTTCACTCCCCCCAACTTAACCCACATTCATTTT